ACGTATGTTACATGAAATATATTCGTAACGCGTGAAATGTAATTATTACTAGACGTTGGAAGGTTAAGGTCTGTTAATTATTTGAACGCAACACTTTTCAAGCGCCGTTTTCTAATTGCTCTAATTTTAACTTTTTCTTAAATTAAAAATAAGACTAATCGGACAAGTTGTATAAAAATATTTAATTATCGGACATTTAATTACTGGTTACATCCCTGTGTGAAATAAATGAGTTAACAGCAAACGCTAGATCTCTCGAATTGATTTGACTTTTTCTCAAGAACACTGAATCTAGACATTTGTATGGAATTAAGCATATCTCGATGAATCGCAAGTAAAACTGAATCTAGACCGTTAGAGCTGTGCGACAACCACACTTGGTATTGATCTTTTATTTTTTATGCGTTTAATTAAATAAGTTTACCGTAATAGTATAGTGTATATAAATAAGTTTGCGTCGCGAGATAACATTCTCCGTAATGAAATCGTTTCTTTTATGCAGAGCAGGTTAACGTAAGTGCCGACGATTCTCGCGGGAGACGAGCGAAAACTTGTGTGATAGTTTTATCGGTTAACGCGTTGCGTACAATGCACGTTGTGCGGCCGTTGGCTCGTGGACCACGCTCGTGTACCACGCCTTCGTCAAGGAAAGGCGCACCGCATGATTCTACGGTTCTATACCGGTATTGAGATAGTATCGGTCAGCATGGATTGCGCTTAGGTCTCCTAGGAGTCCGGCTTTAATAGCCTGCAGCCACGGCAATCGGCCAGAAATCGCTCGTACCTCAACTCGTATTTTCGCATTCGCGCACGCGTATATGTACGTATGTGTGAATGTACGTGTATATGCATGTATGTATCGTCTATCGTATACAAGAGAACGTTTCCTGGAGCGAAGTTTCCAGGTCAGAAAAACATCAATCGGCAGCAGATACCTTTCTTGACGCCATGCGGGTTTTTTTAATTCATCATTCACGTCGCTGTACCCAACAAACGAACCTTCGTATCGTCATTAATTTCTTCGAATAATAATTGCTGATTAGATTATACGATGGTGGTTTGAGTTCGTGACTGATGGAGTCGTGGATAGTTTAGATTTTTTTTTTTTTTCGAAGTCAACAGTCGGAAGCCACAGTCGAGTCCTATGGCGGGACATAAATTGTTGAAATATCATGGCTCCGTAATTGTGATTTGTTGCACCGAAGTAGCGTGACATCCGATGATATATCAAGATGTAATCTATCCTAGTCCCTAATTCTCATCAAGCCGAGTCATTCCTTAATCGGTTAATAACAACCGTCGAACGCGGTTGATGTACGCCGACGATCGATCATTTGGGTCTGATCTCGGATCGATGTATCATATAATTACGACGATGGCTCCCGCGATTTCTAGCCAACCTATCCTAAGTTAAACCTCTCACTAAGCCGTTTTCTCTTCCATATGTTTCAGCAAAAGGTGAAATTTTGGTTCGCCACGGGCGGTGCCGGATTCTGCATCAGTCGAGCATTGGCATTGAAGATGACGCCGGTAGCTGGGTGAGTTTTCTTTTTCTCTATTTCTTCTCCGCTTTATTTCTGATATGTTTACATCTCATATAAAAAGCAAAGTACGTTCTGCTTTACTGTTTATTCCTTTGTACTGAAGAATTAAATCAAGATAATATCAACGCTAATTACTTAAAAATTTAATCGAATTTTATTATAGTAACAAAGTACTACGAAATTTTTGTTTTTATCGTTATTGTATACAACTCTAATTACTCGATTTATCTATTGGATGTTCGATATTATTTTATAATCACTGTGTCAGATAACTGATTACAGTTTCAAATTTATAATCTCTCTCTCTCTCTCTCTCTCTCTCTCTCAAATTTCTTTGCGGCAGGTGGTTTTTATCATTAAGTAGAAATCTCCACAGAATGTGATTAGTCACGCATGTGACACGTGTTACCGCCGCACATCGTGGTAGTTCTTTTAGGATTTAATATAACGTGAAAATGCATATTAACGATCACGTTCCTCCCGAATACTGCCTCATCTCTTTTTTCTATATACTATTCATTTATCTGTTTCTACCTGCGGAGGATTAAATAACGCCGGCGGCTTTGCCTAGTCACGCTTACTTCAATCGATCGGTGCTATATCGATGCTCGATCTATAACGAACTGATACAAATTTTACAGCTGATAATTGCACATAGAAGTTTTTTTCTCTCATAAATGTCTTACGCCTTGCAGAAAACTACACTGTTAAAAATTTTGTGAAGTTCAATATATTTTTAAGTTACGCAATTTGAACTTAATTTTGTTACATGAAATTTAAGGTATTTTTCATGAAAACTTATGAAATTTAATGTTCCATAAAATTTTATGAAAAGTACATAAAATTTCTTAAATTACATTTAAGTAACTATTGTAACTTAATTTTTAGTTAAATCATTCATTACTTTTAATTTCGTTTATAACCACGAGCTTTATTTATGTAAAGGGGAAGCTCGTGGTTACATTTATAACAATATATTGAAGTGCAGTGATACAAATTAAAAATCGTCGATTGCTATCGTAAAAATCATAACGAATTATGTCTATATCGACGTCGCTCTGAATAAATGCATCTCTATAGGCATCTCGATACGCACGATTATTTATTAGCACGTATGACGTTTATATGCTTTATTCGTGATCATTATGATGATCGTCAATGGCGAAGACCAAAAGCGTTTATGTTGCGTACTCGTAAATCGCCGTTTATGGCGTACAGTGACCAATTGTTTATTCTCGGACCTTGATAGCATCACGAGTGAACCTGTTTGTTACTGTATTAACTACATAAAAATAGAGGGCCATATGATGCGATCCAGTTTTACACGGTGACTGCATTTTACGCTCATCGTCGTAAATCCGAAGCTTAAATGTCGCGGCCTCCCATAAAATCTCTTCATCTGATCAGCGATTTGATCGGTTTATTCAGAACTCACACACGGTTCTTGGCCTTCTCTTCTTCGTCCTTCTGTTCATCCTCATCCCTCTGTTCATCTTCGTCCTCAGCTTCCTTATACGGATTCGATGGCAGAACGAACGCGAGGATGAACGCGAATGTGCCTGGCAAAAAAGCCAGCCTGGGAGGGCTTGCGAATTAGTTGTACCTCCTTTTTTTTCGTTTTTTTTTCTCACTCTAACTTCGTCACGCTCTTCCGTCCATTCTATATCTGCGATATACACGGTCCCG